GGGGGGGGGGTCATATTACATGGTCAAGAAGACTTTCTCTGAAGACACTGACCTCTTTTCTCCACTAAATCAGTCGAGCTGCATCATTTCTCTCTCTTGTTTACTCTTTTCCTCTCCTCTTGCTCTCCCTGATTTATAGTCATCATATAGAAATTATATGAATTTATCTATCTTCATTATGTATTCCAGTTTCCATGCACACTACAACTCTCAAGCTTATCGCCTTTTGATGTTTTAAGTAACAAAAAGACCCAGACTCTAGTTTGCGCTCATATGAAACACTGCGACTAGTAATAGGTACTGTGACAGTTGGTCACACTGGTTTAATATCTTGCCAGGTTCATCAGGTGTGCATGATGATGAAACATCTTGAACTGTGTGATTCTTGTATTGGTTAAAATTCATAAGCATATTAAGTAAAACCCTTTTGGCACACTCCGATTTTTAAACTGATGTAAACAGCTTTCTTCATGTATGCTACTGTTCAAAAATGTATTTATTTATTTTTTAATTAATACCTTTATTCAGCAAGGACACATTAAATTGATCAAAAGTGACCGTAAAAATATTTACAGTGTTACAAAGGATTTCTATTTCAAATAACTTTTGAAAAACTTTTCAAAAGAACTTTTCATGAGCTATATTCATGAAAGAATCCTGAAAAAAAATGATCAGTTTTAACAGAAATATTAAGCAGCACAACTGTTTTCAACATTAATAATAATGAATATTTCTTGAACAGCAAAGCAGCATATTAGAATGATTTTAAATTGTAATAATATTTATAGTATTACTATTTTATTGCATTTTTGATCAAGAGACTTCTTTCAAAATCAATAATCAATTACTGACCCCAAACTTTTGAAAGGTATGTATGTCCTGTATGTGTCATGTCCTGTATGTGTCTTTTCACATTTTGACATTAAAAATAGTGGGGGAAAAAATTATAAACTTGGTTTTCATGTGTTGTGCTGTTTTTATAATGCACATATTTTTCATTGTTATCAATGCTTTTTTGGTAAGCACACTACTTTGTAATTCTATGTGGTGTTGCTAGTGTACAGAAATTGCACTCTTCACCTTTAAACCCACATCTAAATGTCACATTATAAGATTGTAGCACAATCTTATTCGATTTCTCTGTGCTTCACAGATCAGAGGGCCTGATCCACGAATAGCTCCGAGATACAACGACACCGATCGACTATATGCCTCCGTGCCCAGGTAAGCCTGTGTTTGAGTGTGTATTTTCACTTGAGTTTAGGTTTGCATGTCCTTGTACCATATGCTGGACATATGTGGCACCGTTGGATCCGTAGAGTCAACAAGACAAGACGGAGGAAGGTGGAGGGGACTTCCCTTCCTTCTCTCTCTCTCTCCCTCCGAGTGCTTTTCTCATCCCGGAATATTCACCTGATCTGCTCCCAGAGGACCGGGATCCAGACAGGAAGCTGGGAATGCTATCCTGGCTCACATCCCGGGTTCTTAAGTGCTTCAATCATTCTCCTTCAGGAACATACACACATATGACGTGACTCCACTGTGGCCCTCCCAATATTAGTAGCTCATGTTGTAAGCAAAATAGTTTTGGGTCACATTAAAGGGCAACCAAAGCCAAATTAGAATCAAACTAAAATGTAGATATTTCTAAAGTAAACTGATGCGGCACAATTCATGGAAATGTCCACTAAAAACATAGCTAATTCATTTTCTTGTTGTCTACAAACAATAAAACAGCATTTTTATTTTAATTTAAAATTTTTGTTTTTCTTAAACAAAAATTCAAATTCTGTCATCATCAGATAATTTTGTTGATGCAATAAAAAAGTGGGATATGATGTTTTTTGAACTGATGACAGGATTTTCTTTTTTGGATGAACTATCCTTTTAAGGGCATACAACATACTAAATGTACCCCAAAATGAAAATTTGCTGAAAATTTACTCGCCCTCAGGCATGTAGATGAGTTCGTTTTTTAATTGGAACAGAAATCCACTGCAGTGAATGGGTGCCGTCAGACTGAGAGTCCAAACAGCTGATAAAAACATCACAGTAATCCACAAGTAATCCACACGACTTCAGTCCATCAATTAACATCTTGTGAAGTGAAAAGCTATGTGTTTGTAAGAAACAAATCCAAATTGTTGCTCCCAGCTAAAATATGAGTCCTCTATCTATAAAATTGCTTTCTCCAGGGAAAAAGTGGTCTTGTCTGTATCAGGAGAGAAATATGCACAGATCAAGCACCGTTTACAAGCCAAAACCATTCTAAACAAATATGTTTGTGAGTTTTGATGTGAGAGGACAACAGGGAATGGACTTTTCTGCTGAAGTAAATGTTATTATGGACTATGGACTTTCGGTCAGAAGTGACAGTTTAAAGTTAAAATGCTTTAATGATGGATTTGTTTCTTATAAACACACAGGTTTTCACTTCACGAGACATTAATTAATGGAGTCGTAGATTATTGTGATGTTTTTATCAGCTGTTTGGACTCTCATTCTGACGGCACCCATTCAATGCAGAGGACCCATTGGTGTTATTTTTTATTTTTTCTGGACATGCACCATGGTATTCAGTTGTTGTTTTTTGTTTTTTTGAACATGGTTAAATCTATTCTTTGAAGTATTTTGGTAGAGTAACTATATCATATAAATATGGTAATCATTCAGTAAATTGGTATATTTCACCATGTACCATGGTACTACCATAATCTAGTTAAACTTTATCTTATAATTTACCTAGATTTAGACCTTTCAGCCCTTTCGAAATCCACATCAAAGCATATTTTCTACAACTTAGACCTGTAAAACACCTACAAATGAGACATCAGAGCAAGTTTTCCTTTGCTTATAAAATCATTTATTAGTACTTTTCGCAGACTCCATGTCTTGTTTTGATATTTTTCCCCAAAAATAAACTCCCACCTCAGTCCTCCTGCGGCTCTCAGCTCTCCCCGAAGCAGCGGTGCCGCCCCGAAGCCCCAGTGTATTCATAAGAGCGGTCTATTTAAATGAAATGAAATACATTTTTCAGGGTTGAACTTTGTGCTGTGGTTCCCTCGGGGTGCTCATTCAGGCCCATTTCCTTTCAAATGACTGTGCTCCATTACATTAGCATATATTTCCCTGCACGCTGTTTCTCTCTCTCTCGCTCTCCCTGTGTGTGTGTGTGTGTGTGTGTGTGTGTGACTCAGTAGAAGCAAAAGTGCTTGTTTCGGTCTTTTTGAAAAGTTCCTCAAGGCTGAAACCGATCACTTCAAGCAGTATGTCACATCACTCTTGTCACAGAGAGCAATTTTATTCTGTGTTCCTCTGTAGGAGCCATAATGCAGCAGTCACACACAATCACTCAGTCTGCAGCAACCTCAGCCAGGCCTGAGAGTGGGTGAGAGTGAGTGAGAGCTCAGAGCTGGTGAGCAGAAAGTTGCTGGTTTGAATACCAAATGAAACAAGTCGTGAGCCGTCACGTGAAAGTTTGCGTGAAAGTTGCATTTTGGTTTGTTGTTTTATTACTTTGTTTCTTTTTGAAATGCTTCTAGTAGTTCTAGAACTTAAAATGATTTCAGTTAGTTTTTGTCTAAACTTTTAAAGTTTTTCATCTAATATTTATATTTTATTTCATTTCAGCTTTCAACACTGATTTTGTGTTTGTTTACACAAAATGTAGTTTCTTTTCAAAAGCTTTCATTGTCTTTGCATTTTAGTTTTTTATTAAAACGTAGTTAAAACATTATGGTACTTTTAATTAGCCTACATTTCATTACAGTATTGTGTTAAGGGCTGCAACTAACATTTATTTTGATAATCGATTGGTTGGCCGATTATTTTTTCGATTAATCAAATAAAATGCCTCTCTTTTTTTTATTAACAAAACACACTATTCCACATCCTGCCCAATGCTGTCCTTCAAACAAACGTGCCAACTGAATGTTATGAAAAAATACTGTATGGTGAATATATCTCTATGCTATACATTATGTGTAAAAGAGTTATAAAGCACAGTTTAAATGGATGGTTTAAACAGGCAAATGGACATAGGATAGTTTAATTCCCTATATTAAAAATGGAAATTATAATGATGAAGATAGTAAAGAAAAACACAAACACAGTGTTAACAGATAAGAGGAATGTTCTGCAGGAACACACACATTCACTCTGAACACAGTAACCTGTTACTGTCATTTCTTTATTCTGTAAATGAAAGAAACATCTTGCAATAAAGCTCTTTCTGATTCTGATTCTGATTCTGATTCTGAATATAAATTTTCTCCCTCTTTACTGCGTTCCATCTGTTTGATACGCATGCGTGTGCCGACGCTTGTTCAGTAAAGTGTGAAGTCTGAGCCTTCATGCAAAATAGAAACATTCACGTGAATATGTAACATTTACAGAAAAGGATCTTACCGTAAAATTCAGTTTATGCGCTGAGGAAACATATCTCACACATTAAACAGCACATGCATCTGTCAAAGCACAGGATGTCACAGGACAACAGGACAAGCCATGTTAAACATTACACTAATGCATTAGCTTGAAGTTTAAAATAAAGCATTCTCATGTTTCGGGCAGCTTGGATCATACATCTTTCCCGCAGCAGCTCACTCTGTTTCATCTGCTATTTTTAAATGCATTTTGTCCATAGAAATGCGTTAATCACTGCTGTAATTTGACATGACTGGCGGAAGTTTTCCGCGTGCGACTAATTGATAATGACGTTCGTTGTCGATTATTTTCTTTATCGATTATTATTGATTTTATCAATTAGCTGTTGCAGCCCTAGTTGTGTTTTGTTTCTTTACGAAAAGTGGCATTCTTAGTTAGGTTCATCCGCTTTGTTTTCTTTCATTATTTTGCATTTTGTTTTTTAAAAAGTTGTTCTTTTTATTACTCTATATGACAGTTATATTGTTGTGTTGCACAGCATTTTATTTAGTATAAAAATGTGTTTTTTAAATTATAAAACTATATCAAACACATCCATGTTTTACTGCCAGAGGTCTCAAAATCTTAGCAGAAGTAACTTATTTTAACCTCTCATGTAACCCTCGTCACTATGTGAAAACACAGTAATAAACTTTAGAAATACTTTGCAACTTAGGTCATTGCATTTGCATACAAAGGAATCATTTCCCTTACTGTTTAGTCTCAGCAGGAGGTGGATTAGGTGAAGAGCTCTATCCCAGCAGAATCGCCGGCTAATCAGCCTGAGTCTTAAGCTTCCTTTTGATTGGATAAAGATCAGCCAAAGGCAGGAGGTTACACAAAACCACGACTGTATGCAAGCAGAGCTTGAGAACGTACACTACTGACTACAGTTCAGATCTTTACATATCAGCATGTGCTTGAAATTACAGCTCTTTTAAAACAATCGTTTTCAAGACAAAATCATTGAAATTAAAGAGAAGCCTCCATGTAGCTGGAACAGACAACAGAGCCGTCAGGAAAGCCACCAGTTGTGTGACTGCCAATAAAGCAGCACTCCTGAGAACATTCAGCTCTGCTATAGAGCATACAGTGGAATTGTGTTTAAAAAGTATTTATTTAAGATAGCAAGGTTCTGATTATCAGGAAGGAGTGTGCTTTTCTTTGTTCATTCATCTTGGCAACAGAAACCCCTATTACTTCTTTTCATTCTCTCATGACATCTCACTCTGCTTAATATTGGGTTTTGGCTGCGGCTGCCGCTTTGCTTCCAAGTAAATAAAGCACAGTGACTGTGTTCTGCTTTAACATTGTTTGCCTTGAAACACAGGAGCTGTAATGAAACTCTTTGGAAATGAAACTCTTATTTTGTTTTCTGCATCCATCAGCTCCCATTTCCCTACGGCCTTAATGTCTGGAACTAGTGCCATAGATGGAATATATCCAATCAGTTCTACACAAATAATTGGCTATAGATTAATCCAGTCTGACGTATATGTCTGTCTGTCTGTATTTATGTATGTCTGCCTATTCAGTCAGATAAATTATCTGTCTGTCTGTATGTTTGTATATTCAGTCTGTCCGTCTGTCAGTCAGTCTGTCTGTCTGTCTGTCTGCCTGTCAGTCTGTCTGTCTTACATGTATGTATATATTATCCATTCGTCTGTCTGTCTGTCTGTCTGTCTGTCTGTGTGTGTGTCTACCTGTCTGTCTGTCCGTCTGTCTGTCTTACATGTATGTATAGATTATCCATTCTTCCGTCTGTCTGTCTGTCTACCAGTCTGTCTGTATTACATGTA